TCTTCAATTTTCTTTTCCAAACAATTAATTTCTTTTTCGATTTCCTCATTTTTCTTTTGTGTATTCTATTATTGTATTGGTTTTCCCTAGTCTTATGTATTTCTTCTAAATCTGTGGTTTTCTGCTCAATTGTATTTATCCTCTCTTTTATTTCACTTTGAAATTTTTCTTGCTCCTTGTTTAATTCCTGTTTAATTTCTTCTAATTTCTTTTCCAATGCTATTTTTATGTTTTCTGTGTTTTCAGCTATTACTTGTTTCAACTCTTCCTTGTCCAATTTTCGCATATTTTCGTGCTCCTCTTTTTCCTGTTTTCGCACTTTTTTCTGCTCTTCCTCTTCCTGTTCCCGCAATTTTTTCTGCTGTTCCTTTTCCGTTCTCTTCTGTTCTTGGTACTTTCTTTCCTGTTCTTTTCGATTTTTTTCCATTTCCTTAAACATTTCAAAGAGACATGCTATTTCCGACTTCTGTAATTCTGTACGTCTGCTTCCTTCAGATCCTGTCCTGTCTTCTTCTTCTTCATAGCGAAGTTCTTCATCTTCCCTTCTTGTGCTTGTTTCACTTCTCAAATCCATTTTCTATAGATTTTCCTTTTAAATTTTCAAATATTTTCTTGTAAATTTCAAACGCTTCTTCTAAATTCGAAGAGCCCCACGTTCGTGCGCCATTTTGTATTGTTATATTTTTTTATTAATCGTGTATTTTAATTTGTGTGTATAATTAATGTTTAGGTACCTTTGGATATCTCAACTTGTCAAAATGGGAATATCTACTTACCTTCAAATGCTTAATAAAGTAGATATTAGTCTCACTGAAATTTATATCTTTCTTTGTCAAAATAAATTATTCTTGAATATAATTTTGGTTATAATCAATATATAATTACTTTTGAAATTAAATGTGTTCAAAACAAAATAAATTTGAAAATAAAATTTTTCTATAGAATGTAAACAAAAATTTATTCTATTATCTCTAAGGGTGGTTCTTTAGAAGAAAGTATCTCTGAATGAAATCCTGTGTTTTTCAATAATTTATATTAAATTGAAATTGATTTTTTTTTATACAATTTAAATAAAATTATATTTTTCTTACGCCAATCCTTATACTAAAACTTAACTTAAACAACAATGTTCAGAATACGAATATTCTATACAAAATTTTAATCAAGTCTAGATAACTTTTCGTTAGTTTACCTTTTGTTAATATTGTCCGATGCACTAAACTTCTTTTTATTTTCTCTTTGATCACTTCTGTTTTCACTATGCACCCTCTAGCTGTAGATCCAACTTCTGTTAGTTTATTTCGTGTTGTCTTGTACTCCTATTTCCTGCTGTATACTTCTGCTCCCTGACGGTGACTTGAGTTATGTGAATTTCTTCACAAATTTGGGTTGTTCTCTATAACACGTTTTAATCTTGTTTTCGTTATAAGACTTACTTGTATTTGTATCTTCCGTAATATTCACTCAAATTGTGTATCGAAACCGTTTTCATTTATTCTTTCTGATACATGGTCTTTCCTTTTCTTATTACTTTTATTATCTTCTGTCAATAACTTTATCTTCCTTATTTTTTTTAAATTCTACTCTTCCATAATTCTAGTTGTCATATCTTAATGTTTATTATTCTTTTTTTTTTCTCGTCACCTAACACTTTTTCTTCTTAGTAACCGCACTTCTGTTTTTTTTTTCATTTTAATTTTTTATAGCTCACTATTTACTTAATACTATTTTACAATCCTTTCCCATTTAAAAATCAATTCCATTTTATCAGTACATTTTAATTTTTATGACAAGCGACTTCTGTCAGATATTTTCTTCTTTCAATTTTACTCCTTTCTAATATGCAATTTTGAATACATTTCATTTCCATACATCTCAATATATATATATATAAGAATATATGTATTGCAGGCAAACGTTAGCAAAAACACCAAAGGGAAACAAAAAAGTGCAAATTTATCTTGGAATTTTGCATTATCACACATTTATGAGTGAAAAGTGAAGGAAAGGAACAACATACTGCATCTATACTGTAAATTTTAAGATACGGTTTTCAGGTTCATAAAAGAACGCATTCGGACGGAGATGGCACAAATTACTCCGGAAGTTATAGACAAAGTTCGAGAAGAGTTTACTGCTCGTCTTTCTCACTGCATTACAATTAAAGGTTGTCAAAGTGAAAATCTATTGTCACTTGGGTTGTTAAAAATACATTTATTGTAATTTTATATTTTTTTTTCTTTGACACTACAAAATTCTATTACCTATCTAAACTTATTGATATGGTTGAACACATTTATATTTAAAAAATACATCACTGTCACACAGGTAACTAGACCGATCGAAATAACCCATGGAAGGTTGATTTGAAGTGGCGAAAAAATGATTTTTCGCATTTTTCTCGGAAATTTTGAGTTTATGTTAACAAGTGACCGCTACAAAAACTGTAGATTTTTGCATGATATACAACTTTTGTATTAGATACTTTTTTGACGTCGAGTTCCGCCAGAAATCGCAATAATACCATTTTTCATCCCTTTTCAACGCCCCAAATCAACCCTTCACCAACCCCGTTACCGCATTTATTTTTTTTTCGGTTTATTATGGGCCCTTCGCCATTTCCACTTATAAAAGCCCAGGTAACAATTTTTTCTTCTCTAAATGTAGTTTGATTGGACTACACGTCATATGTAAAACCAATATCACGCAGAATGCACTTTTAAAAAATGACCCGTTCCAGGTTTTTCTGTCCATAAGCACCAATTTACGGAATAATGATTTTATTCATTTCATTTTCAACATACTGTACATTTTTATCAACAAACTAAATTTGAAGACTGCTTATTGGATTGCATTTTATATCTGATAATAAGCTTTTCCAAACTATTATAAGATGCTGACATTTCAATTCAGTTTCAAAAACACACTTTGGTTAACGGGAACGAAATACTTTTTATTTTTGCACAAAAAAGCCTTTTTCACACAGCTTATGGTTGATTATTAAATTAATTGCACACATTTAATAATATGACTACTTATTGTTAAAATTTATATTTATTCCAACTGAACAGGTTGTACAACTCAAACTAATCAATAAATCTACTAGGTACCATTATTTAGGTATCATTATTTTCTATTTTTCAAACATTACAGTGGATTAAGTTTATTTCATATTTGGAGGCAAGGTAATCTCTTAAAATTATATGCTGTTCTGAAGCTCTAATTATGATAGAAAAATTATTTTTCGATGAATTATTATCAATTATTATCGATGTTGACGGAGCAATTGGAGCAAAAACTTCAACCACCTTTGAGGATATTCTATTTGAAACTTAAATTTTATTTTTCAATATACAGGGTGTTCTTAAATAAGTGTCGCAACGGAAAACTGTAAATTCCTCTTGAAAAAAGAAACATTCTTTACCTCTTCCATTTTTCTCTCCGGGCTTTCGTTTTCGAGATACACGGTGTCAAAAATTTAATTTTTTTTAATTTTTTTGCCAATATCTTAGGAACCATTTGAACTACAGGACTGAGTTTTTATATACGCATTACCAGTATTAAATAGCTACTTTTTCGCACTCTTCTCGAATTCATTGAACGTACCAGTGGTGGAGATTTTAAGGTATCGTACTTGCAACAAGTAGCTATTAATAGTGGTAATGTGTGTACAAAAGCTTAGTCCTGTAGTTCAAGCGGTTCCTAAGATATTGGCAACAATCTGAAAAAAGTTTTGACACTGTGTGTCTTGAAAACGAAAGCCTGGAGAGAAAAATGGAAGAGAAAAAAAAAAATTCTCTTTTCAAGAGGAATTTACAGTTTTCCGTTGCGACACTTATTTAGGAACACCTTGCATGTTTCCACTGATTTCCAACCTCCATCTCTTGGATGGAGACAACGTCTGCCAAAGAATAATCGTTGCAGAGGAGCCTCTGAAACATTGGCTTGTGTAGTCCTTCGGATGGGACAATTTAAAACATAATATACCGATTTTTCCTGGATTGCATATCTAATGAAAAATGTACATTTTTGTTAACTAAGTATGCGAAGCAGCATATTTTCGATACAATGTAATAAAGAATATATCCGAAATGACAAATGTCCCCTGAATATGAGTCAGGAATTTTAACGATAACGACATAGCCCTTAATAATTTATAAATCTTGTACTGTAGGTACCGTTTATAGGCCGCCTAAAACATATATTAATAATTTTATAAATGATTTAGATGAAATATTATTTGTCTTATGTCCTGCTTTGATGAGGTCATCTGTACTTAGGATTTTAATATCAATTTATTTAATGTTGGTAATCCACTTGAACCTTGCTTTCAGATTTACAATTTTACTCAATTAATTCATGAGTCTACAAGGATAACCAATACCTCCAGTACATTAATTGACCCTATTTTTGTATCTAACGGTGATATTATTAATAATTCTGGTACTATCTCAATGGATGGCATCTCAGATCATAGAATGGTTTTCTGCGATATTAACATTAAAAAACTTTAAATGAAACCAAAATATGTAGTTTACAAGTGTTTTAAAAATTTTGATTTGAACTGTTTCTTGACTGATTTATACAGGGTGATTCATTAACAATGGGAAAATCGAAAGCTGAAGATACTACAAGTGAAATGGTGACCATTGGCGCAAACATGCCTTATCCGAAAGTTGATAGTTTCGGAAGTACAGGGTGTTGAAAGTTAAAATTTTAAATCGTTTTTTTGCGATTATTCTGAAAATATGTACTTAGGTTAGGAACTTGAAAATTTGTGAAACAATATTTTTTTAGGCGACGAATAAGATGCGTGTTGTAATTTCAGCATTGCTCATAGAGGGCGCCACTTACGACCAATTTTACCGAAAATTTAGTTAATAACTTTTTACCCTGTATATTTAACATGAAACTTGATTCAAAACCTGAAAGAGCTATCATTTTTCCATTAATTATGTACTCTTGTTTCATTTCGGTATCTCGATCCGTTTTCGAGAAAAATCGATTTAACGAACACTATGTTTTGATAATATGAGAAATTAAAAGCGAAACAAACCAAGTGTTTCTTCGTGTTATTACAACAATTAACAATAAAACAAATGAAATTCGTAATAATGATTTAAAGTCAGTGTTCGAAGAATCCACCGTTGACATTTACACACTTTACACAACGTTTTCTGAGAGATCTTCGAGTTTGAAACAACATATTGGGATTGCGTTTGACTTCGTTGGCAGCGATTTGTATTCTTTGCCACAACTCTTCACACGAGCCAATAGATTCTTTGTAAACTATATCTTTCATTCGAGACTAAATAGAAAAATCAAGAGGATTGAAGTCCGGACTTCTGGATGGCCAAGCAAAAATGCTTACATGGCCAATCCAGCGATTTGGAAAAACTGCATCTAAATATGCACGCACTGGCCAAGAAAAATGCGGTGGAGCTCCGTCGTGCATGAACCACATGTCTCTTCTTAAATAAAGTGGAACTTCTTCAAGCCGTGGAAGCATTTTTACTTGGCCACCCAGAAGTCCGGACTTCAATCCTCTTCATTTTTCTATTTGGAAGAATCTAT